CCTACACGACGCTCTTCCGATCTCAAACATATTTTCCATAACATTCCCATCTAAGAAGAAGTAAAGCAAATTTTCCTTGCTCTCGAATGTATTCTAATGAAGTTTTTGCTGTTGGCGAGAAATTTTGCTTTATGATGCTGGTCTAGCTTTATGAAATTTGAATTTCTTATTAAACAAATGAGTGGAGAACAGAGATGGGCAAATGTTCCGTTCAACTCGATTGACTGACTGACTGACAAGTCAATGTCTGTCAGTCAGTCAGTCAAATCCCATCTCCACTGGAGATTCTCAATTTCTTGTAAGAATCAAAATTTTTCTAATGATTTTTCATACCGAACCATCATCATCCATACGAATAGCTTTTAATAATTATCCGAAAAATAAAGAGCAAAGCAAAACACTTCTGGTTTTCGTGATCGTGACGCTACGGTTTTTGTAAGCTTACTTATACATTCCATAAGTTTTTTGAATTATCAGCGGCTAATCTAGTTTGACATTTTGCAGAAGCCTATCAAAGGGAAAAAAGTTAAGGAAGAGAGAGTTAATATTTCTGGAATTCATTACGATGTAAACTGATCGATCGATATATCTAAGTTGTAGGGAATTTCACGGGTGTAATGCGCGGAAGAAATTCCACGGTTTAAAAAGAAAATCGTTTCTTATGTTTTGCCCGCATGTAAAGGTCTTCACTGATGAAGTATTTCTCTACTCACCGCGAGCTCCCAGATAAATTCTCGAAATATTTTACTCATCTATTGTCAATATTCTTCGACTTCGTTTTCTAGATCGCGACTTCTGGTTTAACTTTTATTTTTGCAAAGCCGCAATCCACCAGTAGATGTTCATTCTCGTTCCAAGTGCTTAAATCTTAACAGTTCGTCGGCATATATGTAAAGTCATAGATCAACAATTTTTACTTCACTTTGTTAAAGTTATTTCTTTAAATTTTTTCTTCAAAGAGAAACTTTTTTTTCATTCTTTCCGCTATTAAATGAGATCTCATCTGAATTCTTTTCCATCGTGTAACATCGATGCAAACTTACTCTTCTTCAGTAGTTCAGGGCATTATATTGATATGTTAAGGTCAGTTGTACAATGAAGTGAAGTTGACTTTGTTGAATAAGTAAATCTTGCTTGCATTGAATTCTTTTTCACATCAACTTTATGACGGTATCAATGGAGATGATTGGAGACTATTAAGAAAACAATATTTATTAACTGACAATGCATTTTCAATAGTCTTCAAGAGAAAATGAGATTGATGAATATAAGAAGTTCAATTATTAAGCCAATTCGCGACTTTAAACTCATGAACTTTATTGCTGTTTCATTGAACATTGGCTATAACTACCAAACCTCTCTCGATCACATTTCAACTGAATCAGGTACAGCCTATTCACCTCTTTGCTAAATGCAGATAAATCTTTTGCAAGTCAGCTAGATTACATTGCAAATTCTGTTTACTTAAAGTCCTTTATTGAAAAAAAAATATGAAAAGAAAAGAAGAAAAAAACCTATTAAGAAACACCATCAATCGACTAGATCTTGCTACTGGTTTTATGCTTTACCAGCGTCTCTTTTAGTCTTGTCTTGAAGCATAAAAGTGGTTCAATTAAATTATCTGAGACACAAGTGCGCACTTGTTCACAACTTGAAAGAGAATTGATAATAAATGAATTGCGTAAAATTGATTGAAATAAAAGTATTAATAAAGTAATTAGCACCTCATTCGTTTTTTTTACATAATTTTAATTTATTAAATGCACATATTTATGCAGGTGTAAGAATATGCGACTAATAATTATGTGCTCGTTATAAAACATGTTGGGGAAACTTGGTTTGTTTATTTATTTATTCAGATTTCTTCTCTAAGATGAATTGATTGAAACTTAATAACTTCATTCCACTCTCTGAACTTTTTTTTTCCTTTTTGCACCTCAATTATTTCTGTTTTCCAAGTCTTGGATGTTCAAGAGGCTCTCGCCGTGTTTTGTTTCAGACCTTTATCGATTCCATTTATAGCTCTACAAAACTCCATTCAAATATATCTTCAATGCATTAATCTCATCAATTAAGTTATAAGAGTCGAGCAGCGCGCTTCAAGTGAATATTGTCGAGTGGTGCACTAGAAGGTGCATGTGAAATTCAACACCTTCCATTAATTAAATAAAATTGCTGAGTCTTCGTCGCGCTTGCTAGCGCTTCACTTTATTAATAAAGCCATTTAAAATGAAATAAAAATACTTCAAACAATCAACTTTGTTTGAAGGTATGGCTTGGTAACAGCTCGAAAGGAATCTTCACCTTAAATAGCATGTTGAGCAAGTCAATCCGCGAAAAATTGTGTTTATTAGAACATTAAATTTAATATAGAAAAAAATATAAAATAATTGCTGAGATTTATTGAAACTGATTGTACAAAATGTATTTAATGGAATGGTGCAACAACGGCAAACAAACTTTATAAAGTTATTAAAATAAAAAGTGGGAAAATATTTTCCACGACTGATTTTACAAGCCATGTGCTGTGAGAATTTCTTTATTCTTCTTTACTTTCAGCTTTTAACTCTTTTAAGTAAAACAAAAAGAATTCTTTGCGAGATTGAAATGGCACTGAAAGGAAGAAAAGAAATTATTGAGTTGAAAGAAAAATTCCTTTGTTGATCACTTCGACTCATTCTCAGTGCAATTACAAACTGTTTGAATCGCAGAAGATTCGAGTAGGTGGAATAAATCTTTTATTCCAATTTCAGTAAATTAATTAAACTTCAAAACTATGTTGAAAAAGTTCTTTTTATTGCAAATAAAGTTGCATGACTTTTGATGAGTTCTGACTTTGATTGAAATCGCTGAGAAGACGGACTGAGTCATCTGTTTAACCAACAATCTCATGCGAGACGTTTGAAATCGAAATAAATTGATGACTTTGAAGCTTCATTCAAGCGTGACTCTTCAATCGTTGAATATTCTGCATAATCACCTCAAACTAATTAAGGTGGAACTGCATGAAGACGAGAGGATTAAAATCAAGTTGTTCAAAGCGAGAGTAATTTTCAATTATGAAGCAGAAATCAAAGATAAAAGCGAACATGAACACACGAGCAAATAGCTTGACGCAATATAAAAAAAAAGTTCATAAAAAACATGAAAACTACAAGAGCAAAAATTTGTTTCAATGAGATTTTATCTGATCATTTTCCACTTAATTCAATTTATAAAGTAATATTGCTTTTGCTTTTTCGCTCGCTCTTAAGCGCTCTGTTGCATATATGCATAAAGACATATCGACGATTAAAACGCATTGTTGCAACTTGCTAAGGAAACAAACTACTTGCCTGGTGTTACCAAAGATAAGAACAGTCGACCCGGTGTAAAAGAGTAGAAATAATATCTTCGAGTTAAATTTTTAGCACTCTAATATATTACTCGGGAGATTATCGCCAACAAAACCAGCAAAGCAACGACAACAAAAGAAAAATGGCAAAAAGCGGCATTTAATTTGCAGAATTTTGCATTTAGAATCTATTTAGAAGAATGAGATATTCGTAGAATCTCAACTGAATCGACCATGAAGTAAATAAATAAATAATCTTGATGTGTGTTTATACACTGAATTACGTTGAACGAATCCTAAAACATTAATTGAAGCTTGTCTAAAGTTGAATTACTTTTGATTAAACAACAATTGGCAAGGACTTGAGCAATCAAGCGTTGAATTGTAAATTTAAATTCTAAGACAATTTAATTATTTTTCAATTAATTTATTCTCATTTTCTTTTCATCATTTTTCTTATCACTAAAAGTACAAAAATTTCTTAATGACTAAAACGTTTGTGAAATAAATAATTGCGTAACTATGAATTAATACATAATAACAAGCTAATTGCATTTAGAAACTAAACTAAGACTTTCTACAGCTTACGGGTCACTTCATTTAACATTGAAGTTTAAAAGTACATTTAAGATATTTCGGGAGTTTTTAAGTATCTAGATATTGTCTAGTTAACTGGCACCTTAGCAGAAGAAAATACACAAAAATACTGGCACATCAGTTCACTTGATTCATTTTATACACAACAAAAAAAATATCTTGAATTACATACATTTAATATTTTTTTTCGCTTCATATATTTATAATTGCCAATGCTCAAAAGGTTTTAACTCTGTGGTCAAACAACTTTTTTTTTTCAGCCCAAAAACGATTATTTTCGTAACAATTTCAATTAGTTTTTAATGACACAATAAGCGGATTGTTCTTCTTTTCCATTCATAACTTTTTCTTTCTATTTTGTTGTCTCTAATCGTTCATTAAACATCTTCTCATTTAAAATACTATCATCGCTTTCAACTAAATTTCACGTGATACAATAATTCATCTATATATGTGAGCCTTACATTTGTCGAGTTGTAATCTATAATACTTTCGGGGTAAATTTAACTGGCACAAGGAGAAACTGGAATGAAGAGTAACAAAGTAAAAAACCACAAAATATAAAATGAAATGTGGCGGCGGCGGCAACGACTATCGTTGGGAAGCAACATCACTTTCAAAAAAAAAAAGAAAAGTAATCTAAAAGACATTATAGCTCTTGATCTTCTTCTCGGTTCGCTTTACATTTCATTTATTTTTTTTGCCATGCGCTTGTCATCATTTATCTACTGTTACTGACAAAAACTTAATTCAATTAATTATAATAGGAAAGAGCGAGACAAAGACAGAGAGAAATATTTATAAAACGATAACTAAAACTGCCATTAACGATCACAAAATGCCTTCGTGTAAACGCCTCACTTTTCTCGCTCTGATGTTTGTGTAACAATTGAGTTTCATATGAAAAGTTCTCGAGATTTTTTACAGTGAAGTTGTTAAAGGTAGAAATTATGGGAAAAAAAAGAAATTTCTTCGATCACAATTCAAAATTCATTAATCACCAACTCTCACGTAAGTTAGAGCTTCTCATTCAAGTCTTCAACGTCACAACAAATTCATTTAGAGCGCTATTAAAGATGTTAAAGTAGCAATTTTCAAGCAGCTAGCAAGCGTCTACTCGAGAACACGACGAGAATCTATTTACTTTGAATCTATGTGTGGTCTTCGTTAGTTTGTGCGAACGAGTGTTAAATCTAAAGGAACTGTTTTGGATGTTTCATGAACAGGAGAAGCCGACAAGGGTGTCGATGATCGTATCGTTTTAACGTCAACCGTTTGTTCAATCTCATAATCACGCAGCCGTTTATTTGATTTCAACGATAAATCAATTGGTTCGTGCTGTTCATTGCTAAACGTGAGCTTCTGAAGGGGACTTGGCGTGAGAGATATTTGCGGTAACGGCAACATGAAATACTCGGGTGTGCTTGGTGTACGCGACGACAACGCGGATGATGAAAGCGAATGATGAAGAGTAAATGGCAGGAAGGGTGACATTGGCTTCATTGAACTGTTAAGGTTGTTAATCTTACGTCCAATTGTTACTGGGCTGATGTAACCATCATTAGGCGATGAATTTGTCTTTTCACTAAAGCTGTTCGATCGTGGCTTTAATAAATTGAGGTTTTTACTTTTGGTGATGACATTGTTATTGTTATGGAATTTAAGGTTGTTCTCTTCCGGATCTGCTGAAGACGCTCCTGAATCGCTTGGTGAACTAACTCGCTTTATCTCTTGATTCTTTAAAGTTCCATTGTTATTATTATTATTATTATTATTGTTATTGTTGTTATAATTATTGTATAAATTTGCTAAGAAATGCGATGAGATGAAATCATTCGGTAGGATGTTCGTATTTCCGGGATGGTTTTGTGATGGGTTGGGTGAGTTATTGTTGTTACCATTCTGAGTGATGCTATTGTTGTTAGCTTTGTTTTGTTGCTCCTGAAGGAGACAATGAATCTTGAACCAGTTTGAACGTCGACCATATCGTGATCCACTTTTTGACATTCCAACCAGAAGACATTTTCGTAAACGGCACGCCTTGCAAGCCGTTCGATTTTTCTTGTTGATGACACATTCGCCGTTGTTTTTACACTCGGAAATTGATGATAAGTTGTTGTATGTTCGACCGAAAAATGACTACAAAAAGAGAAGAAAAGAAAGAGAAAAAAAAAGATGTTAAAAATTTATTTATCTTATCAACTTTTAAAGTTTCAAAAATGCTTTCCCTTTATGGAATTAACATAAAAGAAATTATTTCAGTTTAAGTAATTAATTCATTGGTTTGATCACGTTTCAAGAAGAACAAATCGTTGTTATTTCGTCACGAATAAGAATCCAATGAAACAAAAGCCGACGCAATAAAATTCGTCTTGAAATTAATTAAGTGACCATAAAAATCATCATGCACATGTTGATCGTCATTGCAGTTTTTTTTATTGTTTTCCTTTCGTTTCCAAGAAGTTTTAAATCCTCAGAGAGTTTTAAATATTTTTCTCCTGCTTTTAGTTTATGATCTTGATCATGACTCCGACGATCTTTTATTTTATAAATCATAAAAATCCACCGCTAGACTTCAACCACAGACAAAATATCTCCTTGAACGTAAACGCAACTGCCACCTTATGACAAGTGGAATATTAATTAAGAGGCTTAGCACTCAATGAACTTTTGATGGTGACACTTCACATCATCAAGTATAAATGTCAATTAAATGAGCGATTATTAAAATGGTTAACCTTAAGTCTAATTGATCAAGCTTAAGCAAACTTCACAAATACTTTAAACTTGGATCAAAAGGATTAAAGACAAGCTATTCAAAGATAACAAAAGAAATATTTTTTTCTCTCAAATTGCTGTTGAAATTAAGTTAATTCCGCAAAAGGAACATTCAAAAACTAAACTACCTTTAAAGATCTTCTTTTTTTGATAGCAATCAGGCAATCGTTTTAATAGAGGTGACTTTGCACAATGCTCGGAAGCAATGTCGTGGAAATATTGTTCAATGAGTCAGAAAAAAACACAACAGCGACTTAAATGTGGTTAAAAGTTAAGAGCGAATGATCTGTATCAGGTTCCCCATCGTAACTAAAGCACAATGTGTGAAAAGGAATTGCAATAAGGTGTTAAATATAATTACACTAAGATTTTTACTCTTCTTCCCATCGCTTCGATCTCGTTCTAGCCATTAACTTTTTGTGTTTTTGCTTCCTTTCGCCTTGAATACTTACGAGAGCAATACGTTTAATGAGAAGTCACTTTTTGTGCTACTGTAAGAATGTTCACCGTTCAATTTATGCTTTTTTTTACTTGCAAAACTCATTGCACCGCTAAAAATAGTTAAAGCACTTTTTGTATGTTGTTTAGTGATCAACATCAGGCGAGGTTTAAGACAAAGAACATCAACGAAGTAAAGAAAACGGGGAAAAAAATGATTTTTTGATGTGCAAAACCTCAACGATCATTATTGCAAAATTGTTCTAATCCAATTAATGTACAACGAAGTTTAAGCGTGAAAAAGTAAAGTTAAGTTACTTCTTAAGTCGATGATACTAAAAAAATATAACTTAACTGCTACTGAACCGTTTCGCGTAAATAATTTTATTGTTTTGCATGTTTTTTTTTTTTTCGAGAAACATTTTCATTCAAACACCGTGGTTTGTAATGGCAAAAAAGAAAAAAAAACTGCAACAAGAGGGAAGGAAGAGAGAAAAATAATTTATCTTTGAAGCGATGCATAATAATCATTAAAAATCATTTACAATAAAGTTATGGAAGATAGTAGATAATATAAATATAATTTAATTTCCCATCGTGAAGTCGTTTAATTGAAGCTTGAATGTTTTTCCAACATTTCCATGATGTCAAGCGACATTCCAAATGGGAATTCATAGCACACAGTTCTGATCTGGTTTCCTGCTCTTACCGTTCAAGTTAATTATTTTATAGGACTCATTTAACCGTCAACATATCTCAATTTCTGTCTCCAATTTTTCGACTTTAATTGCATTCGTTTACAAGTTTTAATTAGCATTAATTATATTTTTCTGCTGCTCATGCTCGACATCAGCAATCGTTGATACTGCCAATGGTTTTAATTGAGGCTTCATGAAGACACCGAATTAATGATAATTTGAATGTTTGCTAAGAGTCGTTCAAAAAATATTTATCAGAAGAACTTTGGTAACCAAAGCTTGTAGAGAAGCGTACAACAAACGATGCAAATAGAGTCGAAGTCAGTCTAATAATAATAATAATTTTTACTTGCTGTGGCTTTTGTACAGATTGAAATTCAATTCATTAGCATTCAACGTTGAAATGTTTATTTATGCAATTTAACAAGAGAAGAAGATGAAGAAACACAAGACGAAGTTGAAATTTCCTATCAATTCTAATGCAAAATTATGTCAGCAATTTGAATTACATGAATCACCTTTTAAAATTAATTAGTAAATTGCTTTAAGAGTGAGTTTTGCACTTGAAGTTTTTCTTTTTATTTTAATTTTTTTGAATACTAATGTTGCACTTAACATGCTTTTTTATTTCTTTCTTTTTCCCGAACGATTCAATTTATAGCAAAATAGAAGTTGAAGCTTAACATTCTCGCTGCATTTAGATTAATTATATTACCGTCTACACGGTCTTGATCTTATGTCATGTTGCCTCTCACTCACAACACTTGATATAAGTAACGTTGTAAAATGAGTATATGGCTCAAAGTGGAAAGTGAATAGTCACTAACAAGGCAGTTATATGTGTAACTAGATTGAAGTTGTGTGATTAAGTGGTGAAGCAATTACTCAGTTGGTAATTTCATATTTTTCTCTACCTTATCGTCATTCCAAGAATGTAAACAATTCTCATAGGAATTAAATATGAATGGCTTCGGGAAATTCAAACTTAATCATTGATGTTTAAGGTTTGTCATTCCCAAAAACTTTTATTTAGGTATCAAAAATTCAAAGAAAAAAGCATTTTGAATGAAGATCGTTTTGAAGCTCATCGTAATTATTTGATCATCAGAAACTGATACATCTGCCAATTTATCTCAATTATCTTTGATTCATTTTCGCTTTCATGAAAGTTGAACTTTCTTTTGAATCATTCGATTTGACAGTTACCTACCTGTACTTCTTGCTTCTTGTTTCTTGCCTTTCACGACGGTACATTGGAGGTCCAAAAATGTAATTTACTGCTAACTAAACAGAATGCGTCTGTTCGAAGCGAAAAATGTCGCGACAATTGTCAGAAATTGTTTACCATGCTTGGAGATCTCCAATTATTGCATCCGAAATGAATAATGTTGTCTCGTTTACCTTTAAGTCTTGATGTGCATATTCATTTTCTCGCTTTATTATGCAAGCTAAATGTTTAATGATACACTTTTTAATGATTCAGTGTCTCTGACGATTTTCATCTTCTTTTTTGTGCGTGTTTATTTGTTCGGAATATTGAAACAGTTGTAATTTTAATTCGATTTGACTTAATGACTACAAGCATCATTCGAGGTGAATCATATTACAGATTGTATTTAATCAACATTATATTGCGACTCGTATTTCAAAAGATCTGAAAAATCTTCATTTCCCGAATGCTTTCAAGGATGTGATGGTGATCATCGTTTTGTTTTGAATGATTTCAAGCAAGTGAACTTGAAGTGTTTTGTTTACAGAAACAAATTCAAATCAACTTTTTGAATGTTACAGAAATCAATTATTTTTGAATTAGTGAGAATCAAATGTTACTTGAAAATGTACACTTCATGAGTTTAAATATTTGCGTGGAACTTGATGATCTGTCGGCGTCTTTAAATCATCTCTTTAATGATATTTCGTGAGTAGAACATTTTTTATGATTTAAATTATTTACAAATAACAGATCATAAGAAACGTGGCGTGTGAGATGAAAGAATCAATTTACAATCTCAATATTCATTTAGTTTAAATGCCCGCAAGATTTCAGATCAAATCATGTCAATTTTCTCGCAAACACTCCATCAATTATTCTCGTGATAAAGAGCGCGTTAAATTTTCATTACAACGCAACATTCAATGGACGATATATTAAATTCTCATTAATCAAAAGATTCCTCAAAGCAAAGACATGTAAATGCTTCTTCAACGATACACGAAACATGCGGAATAAGCAAAGTGAAATGTTCAGCTACCACGGTTAAAAAATTGCGAAAATCATTAAGATTATTGACTCTTTAATTTAATTAATCATGGGAGAAAAAAAGAATGTATGAAATTGATTATTCCAAGTTCTACTTATGAGAAGAATGATTACCAACATTCAAAATAGCCACAGGACGAATCATTCGCTTTGCTTGACGATAAATGTTCAATTTTGACGCGTCTTAAGTCTGACATCGCAAATTCTTTCATTTAATTAATTGAAGCAATTTATCAACACTTTTTTTATCCATTACAACATGCAATTTCGGGAGAGAAGTTTGGAAACAAGAAATACTTGTCAATAATGTGACAAATATGCTTAAGTTTATAACCAAAAATATGTTATCATCGTGAACACTAAAAATAAGAATTTCAGAGAGACAAGATAAATTACATCTGTTAATTGACTTGCAATTTATTATTTTCTTTCCCAATTCGTGATCCATTTTTTTCCAATTAATTTTTTTTCAATATATTCAAAAGTAATTTGTAGTTTCGGCTGCTTGAAACATTTCTCATCGTGAAATGAAGAAATTTTCTTAATAAATATCTCAACTCATAAGACTTGAATAAAAACCTTGGCAGCTACTGTAGAGAAATCGATCTAGGATGTTAATGCATTCTCATAAATTAATTTTATTGATGATTTCAGCAAAAAAACGCTGTGTTGCTGTTAATTAGACGATACACGTAAACTTTCATTCCAATAAAAATTGAATTAAATGGAAATGTACACTTGGATAATGAAGTGGAAGGTTAGGAAGCGGATTTCAGAATATTTTACACCTTTAAACATCTATTTATCATTCATATTGTCATTAAGTGCTTTTTGCTAACACGAATGCTATGTTCTCTTAATTAATTTAACTCCATCGAGCTACTAATGCAAAATGCTTTTAATATTTTTTTCTCCATCTCGTTGCTTCGAGGAGATGAAAGAAATACTAAATAAATATTTACATGTAACGTACTAATTTGTCTTCCATTCTAATTGCTATCATTAATTATCAAGTTTCTTAAACGCGCTTTTCGAGGATAGAAAATTCTCTACTTTTAATAAAAGTGCAAGAAAAGTCTTCCAGCAAAACAATTTCGTGTGAGTTTGACATAAGGAAGAAAAGATTTATTTGTAAACAGAAACCTAATCGTGTTGCTAATAATTTTTAACATAAGAAACAGAAATCTTGTTAAATAATAAAGTAACACGATAATCATCATGAAGTGATGACGATATAAAGCTGATTAGTT